ACTATATTCTGAGTATATAAAACCAATTTAGAGTTGACTTTTTCTCTAATATGATTTAAATTTAACTATTATTGAGTCATTTTTTTACTCAGACTTGGTTTTTAATTAACTAAATATTAAGTGTAAAAATAAATCACTCATAAGTGATTAAATTAGGATATACAGTGTTGAAATTAATTCACTTCGCGGGGCCTCCTCCTGTCCTGGCTGAGAGTCGTAATCTGAGACCCGCCAGCTCAGACACGCTCCCGCCGGCTAAGGCCTGTTCTCCTGGCGATCACGCTTTTCTGGAACATCTAACGGGCCCCTATCAACTGTGGTCAAGATTAAAGAAGCAATATGTAAGTGGTGCCATCTTCACAGCGCCATTCAAATTACTCGAAATTGATATACATTTACACTCACTCAGTAATGAGGACATTTACTGTGATTTAGGTACCAAATACGAGTTTACCTGAAGAATTTATTTAAGGAGATTTATATTTGAGTCAAAGTACTCAGTTTTAGTTTAAATATAAATGAGTTCAAAATGCCCAATATTGAGTGAATATGTACTCAATAAATAATTTAACTCAATGGACTCACTCCGAACCTTTATTGCTTTCACTTACACCGATTTTTTTACAGGGTACGTTCCAGATTTGAAAGCATTCAGCCTATTTTGCCCTTTTCAATAGAACATAAAAAATATGCATGAATGGATATCAATTAGTTAAAATCATGTAATTACTCACTACGCTATCGAGAAATTACCATGTATAATTTGATTATTACACTGCAATATTCCTGAGCAGTAAAAGTTGTTACTCTTTCAATCTCAGTGTCAATTTAATATGCGAGGTGATTCCTAAATAGTGTTATAATATTTTCATAGCGTTAAAATAAATATTTTTTCAAACATCATTTCTCAAAAAAAAAGATTGTCATATAAAAAAAATATGATATGCATCAACTTACACGTAAACCACTTTTTTAAGTGCAGTATCCTTTTTTTGGTATCCTTGATTCAATGTTCTTTAAAAAATGCTCAAAATTGAAAAGTCTTAATAACATTTGGTAAATCGCAACGAGCTTATTTCTCCCTTGTTTGTGATTTTCACCATTCAACACTGTTTACCCCATAATTAATATGTATGTATGTAATATGTACAGGGTGATTCATTAACAATGGGAAAGTCGAAAGCTGAAGATACTACACGTGAAATGGTAACCATTGGCGCAAACATGCCTTATACGAAAGTTGATAGTTTCGGAAATACAGGGTGTTGAAAGTTAAAATTTTAAATTGTTTTTTGCGATTATTTTGAAAATATGTAGGTTAGGAACTCGAAAATTTGTGAAACTATATTTTTTTTAGACGACGAATAAGATGCGTGTTGTAATTTCAGCATTGCTCATAGAGGGCGCCACTTACGACCAATTTTACCGAAAATTTAGTTAATAACTTTTTACCCTGTATATTTAACATGAAACTTGATTCAAAACCTGAAAGAGCTATCATTTTTCCATTAATTATGTACTCTTGTTTCATTTCGGTATCTCGATCCGTTTTCGAGAAAAATCGATTTAACGAACACTATGTTTTGATAATATGAGAAATTAAAAGCGAAACAAACCAAGTGTTTCTTCGTGTTATTACAACAATTAACAATAAAACAAATAAAATACGTAATTATGATTTAAAGTAATTGTTCGAAGAATCCACCGTTGACACTGATACACTTTACACGTTTTCTGAGAGATCTTCGAGTTTGAAACAACATATTGGGATTGCGTCTGACTTCGTTGGCAGCGATTTGTATTCTTTGCCACAACTCTTCACACGAGCCAATAGATTCTTTGTAAACTATATCTTTCATTCGAGACCAAATAGAAAAATCAAGAGGATTGAAGTCCGGACTTCTGGATGGCCAAGCAAAAATGCTTACATGGCCAATCCAGCGATTTGGAAAAACTGCATCTAAATATGCACGCACTGGCCAAGAAAAATGCGGTGGAGCTCCGTCGTGCATGAACCACATGTCTCTTCTTAAATAAAGTGGAACTTCTTCAAGCCGTGGAAGCATTTTTACTTGGCCACCCAGAAGTCCGGACTTCAATCCTCTTCATTTTTCTATTTGGAAGAATCTATTGGTTCGTGTGAAGAGTTGTGGCAAAGAATACAAATCGCTGCCAACGAAGTCAAACGCAATCCCAATATGTTGTTTCAAACTCGAAGATCTCTCAGAAAACGTTGTGTAAAGTGTGTAAATGTCAACGGTGGATTCTTCGAACACTGACTTTAAATCATTATTACGAATTTCATTTGTTTTATTGTTAATTGTTGTAATAACACGAAGAAACACTTGGTTTGTTTCGCTTTTAATTTCTCGTATTATCAAAACATAGTGTTCGTTAAATCGATTTTTCTCGAAAACGGATCGAGATACCGAAATGAAACAAGAATACACAATTAATGGAAAAATGATTGCTCTTTCAGGTTTTGAATCAAGTTTCATGTTAGACATACAGGGTAAAAAGTTATTAACTAAATTTTCGGTAAAATTGGTCGTAAGTGGCGCCCTCTATGAGCAATGCTGAAATTACAACACGCATCTTATTCGTCGCCTAAAAAAATATAGTTTCACAAATTTTCAAGTTCCTAACCTACATATTTTCAAAATAATCGCAAAAAACGATTTAAATTTAGCTTTCAACACCCTGTATTTCCGAAACTATCAACTTTCGGAAAAGGCATGTTTGCGCCAATGGTCACTATTCCACGTGTAGTATCTTCAGCTTTCGATGTTCCCATTGTTAATGAATCACCCTGTATATTAGGAGGGGCTTTCGTTTTGTCAAAAATAGTACCTATTAGCAACTAATATCAGTTCAGGGTAACTCTAAGTTGCTATTAGCTACTAATAGCTACTATATTTGCCAAATCGAAAGGCCCTCAGATGTACTGAAATGCTTAATAGAGGTCGGATTTTATCAGTCAGAAAAAGATGCGCTTAAATGTGTATTAAAACATTCACGGAGTTCTGTAATAATTATATAACATTCTGTTACAATAATACGTCAATGAGCTATTAACGGATTTAACTAGAAAAAATAGTTATTACAAAAGTAGAGAAGTTAATGATCATCTTCTCAAAAGTGATTCTGTTCTCACTGCAAGTCGCGATAAGGTTCTGCACGTGGCGCAGTTGCATATCTTTACGAAACACCAAATTTCAGTACCGTTACTTTTAGAAGAATTTATTTGCTTAATTTCTTTACAAAGACCGGTTTGAATTTTTTACAAGTACTTTGTAACTATTTAAAAAATGGAATTGGAAAAAAAAACTCTCGTTTTAAGTAGTTCCATATATATTGTCGTATTACCAGTACCGAATTGGAAAATTCACCATACCTTTCATTCTGAACCATAAAGCCGGAAAAATCTGCCCTATATCAAATAGACCGTAACTAGAGCAAAAAACTATGTCCTAAAGGACCCGTAGCTATAGCGCGGCACTCCAAAGAGCGACAGTATTTATCTCACTTTGTAAAATTTCGCCGTCGCGTTCAAAACCGTTCCAAGCAGCTCTAGATCGCTATCCAAAGTTCCCGCCGTCGCGTCGTCGCGTCGCGTCCCGCCGCTCTAATAAGCCAAAAACGCTCTGTTGCAGCAGTCAACATTCCCAACGACGCGAAATAAGGGCGACGAAGCCATTCCGGGTTCGAATTTCGGAGATCCAAAATTCTCCGAAACTCGAACTTGGTGGCTTTGTCATAATAACAACTATAAAGCAATAGAGGCCAACCCAGATGGATGCCATATTTCAGGAGTTCAAACATGGAGGGCAGAGCCACGCAGTGGGAATGGTGCCGCGCAAGAGAGCCACCAGCGGAGGTGTCTATACGTGTGATCGAACGTTAACCCTGGATATCGACAGTTGGGACGGAAGCCTTGCCAGAATTTGTACTCGAAGGAAATTTTGCTTGACAGAATCAGAATTTTATATATTATTTATTTTAGCAATTAGTTTTATCTCTACTTCATCGAGCCCCTCAATATTCCATTATCTGTTTGGGCATTGGAAGAACAGACACCTTTAATTGCGGCAATAAAAGTAACTCAGTTTTATTCCTCGGTGCCACGCCCTAATGACTGGATGATAATTTGATTCCATATTATGTCTGTTATCCTACTATAAACATAACAATAACTAATTCTTATAAATCACCCAATATATTGGGCGTCTTATATTTATTACTGCACAACACAAAATTGTTATTCTTGAAGAACATGTTCAATGTATCAGCTTACTATATATCACAGTTCTCTTGGCTTCAGTTAAGAACTATTAAGTAGTGCCCAATTAAATATGTCGACATTGAATAAAAATATTTCCTAATACCTGGTTTACATTGCCAATTTATTCATGAATTAATTCATCAAGACGCTTCGTGAGGAAATTGGGCAAGTGTAATGCACCGAATCTGCTGTCAAATAACTTCATGAATTTATTCATAAAGTTCATCACAAATTAGAACATGTTCTAATTTACGTGAATTTATTTATGAAATTCAGAAGTACCAACAAAAATATTGAGGATAAGTTATTTGTTTACATATTTACTTCAGCACGTTTTTATAAAGAGTGATACATGAACTGGTAAATTATAATTACAATTTTTTTTCATGTTATCTAATTAAAAAAATAATCTCAACTTATTCATGAAAATGTATTAATTTTCAGTTTGTCTTTATTTATTGTTTCAAAGAAATTCACAAAGTTTAAAATAATGTAAAACCGAACCCTTTATGAATAAATTGATGAATTAATTCATGAAAAACTTCGTGAATTAATTGTGAATAAATTCGCAATGTAAAACAAGTATAATAGTGTAAAATATACAGGGTGGCCCAATTACAACAGTCCACCTGACATATTTTCAATGCAAAATATTTTTCCGAAAACCCCCGAAACAGGTTAATGTTGCTTTCAAGGGGGACATATTTTGTTCATAAATTCATGGATGTAGGGTCATTCCCTGAAACGAAAGTTATTTTTTTCGATTTATTTCACCGACATTTCCAACAGGTTTTTTACATTAATTTTATGACAGAACAAACAAATTTCAGCGCCTTTGTAAAGAGAATTGAAATACATCCATGCATTTATGATCAAAAGATGCCCCCCTTGAAAATTCACCTGTTTCGGAGGTTTCCGGTAAAATCTGTTGCATTGAAAATATTTCAGGTGGGCTGCTTTAATTGAATCACCCTGTATGTAAAAGCCATACGTCATCAGAACTTCTATGTTTTCCTGACAACCATATGAAAATTAATATCGTGACTCACCTGGAAGGGCAGCCAGAGGCCCAGAAACAATCCCGCCGTAATAGCCAGCGCCAGGCCGTACCTAGGGGGTCCCCCAGCAGACGCGCCGCCGCCACCGGTCGGCGGCGAGTGCTGCAGCGTGTGGGAGTGTCGCACTTCGGAGCGAATAGCACGCGCGTGGCCTCGCGCCACCAGGTAGATGTAACCGTAGCAGACCACCAAGATCAAGGCGCTGGGTCCGTATACGGCGCAGAACATGAATAGTTGTACAGGCTTCGCCACCAGGTCGCCAAAGGAGCAGTCGCCCGTGCTACTGTAACAAAAAGGAGAAGGCAATGAAGTGAGTTAATTTTGGGGAAGTAGTAGTAATTTTGTAAAGCTCTTTCCTATTACAAAACTTGAGATTCACGCTAGTTCTAGTTAATCGAAAGCAGAATAATGACAGATTGATTTATTAGCACAATTAATTGGGTCTTTAAATGGCAATTTTGGTCAACTTGCCTAAATTTTTGATACCTGTAAGTTAGTCAGAACTTATTAAAAAATTAATTGGGATAGATGGGGCATGAGAAATGGAGTCAGTTTGGTAAAAAAAATTTGTAAAATCCTTATAGTTTCCGAAAAAAAAAATTACTGAAGTTGTAGTACTTTCAACCATTCCATAGCTGGACAACTGTAGTCTCTAGAGTCATTTCTAATACGCGTGGAGAGCCACGTGGCCTCAGCGACTCAGAACACTGAAATCCGATTTACAATCGTCGTTGCGATAGTGTTTACAATAGTTTTTTAATAGTTAATGTCAAAAATGGCTTGCGTGTATAGCAACTTGGAGTTAATGAATATCGTTTTAATTTATGGTGAAACAAGACAACATTTGTATTATGGTGAAGTATTTGTGTTATGGTGAAGCAAAGAAGAGAAGGTAATGAAGTGAGTTAATTTTGGGGAAGTAGTAGGAATTGTAGGGTTCTTTCCCAATACAAAGCTTGAGATTCACGCTAGTTGTAGTCAATCGAAAACAGAGTAATGACAGATTGATTTATTAGTCCAATTAATTGGGTCTTTAATGGCAATTTTGGTCAACTTGCCTAAATTTTTAATACCTATCAGTTAGTTTCAGATATAGTGATTCACAACTTATTAAAAAAAAAAATTGGAGTCATTATGGTAAAAAAAATTTTGTAAAATCCTTTAGTATAGTTTCCGAGAAAAAAATTATTGAAGTTGTAGTACTTACAACTATTCCATAGCTGGATAATTGTAATCTCTAGCGTTATTCGTAATACGCGTGGAGGGCCACGTGGCCTCAGCGACTCAGAATACTGACATCCGATTTACAACCGTCGTTGCGATAGTGTTTACAATAGTTTTTTTAGTAGTTAGTGTTGTGATGTACTTTCGAGGTTCGGTCTCAGACGCCGAACTAGTACAGTCACAGTCCGGGTTCACTCGGTGGAGAAGTGTTTTCCAAGGTTCGGGAATATTACAAGACTTGGTATCAATAAAACTTTTATTTTCTAAAATAAATCGCAGTCTATAAACACATATAATATTAACAATAATACCCTACCCATATAAATAACAAAAACATCGGGATACCTATTGTCACGAAGGCAATACGGATGTCCTGACGGTGACAACGCCGAGTGTCGCGGAAAGACCTGCTAAACACCCGGAGTCGGCCGCGAGGTAGACGTCAGGTACCGCGGAAAGACCTGCTAAGTACCCGGAGTCGGAGTCCAGGTGTGTACCTTACCTTGAGCGCCGCGGAAGAGACCTGCTAAACGCTCTGGTTAGGACACCCAGAGGAGGGTTGAGTGCCGTGGAAAGACCTACTAAGCACTGCCTGGTGTAGGTGACTCCGTTGCTTTTATACAGAACGGCTGGTAGTGCCGTGTGCAACTTCAGCCGTTGAAACGGCGACTTCGTGGGCCGTGTGCAAAATCGCGGTGCGCCAAACAATTATAATACAGCGGGAGCAAAATAAAATAAGATCATTACTAAAATATAAATGAAATCCCGAAAATAAAAAAAGGTTCATTACAGTGTCAAAAATGGCTTGAATGTATAGCAACTCGGAGTTAATGAATATCGCTTTAATTTACGGTGAAGCAAGACAACATTTGTGTTATGGTGAAGTGAAGCAAGACATTTTTTGTGTTAGTTCGTAGAAACTATGTAAGACGGGTCCAAATGTGTTTACATGTCGGTGGACAACATTTTGAACAGCTGTTGTAACATCAGGTATGTCAAATTATTTTATTAAGTAAAATCACAAATTAATTTTATTAATTAGTATTAACAATATCGGCAGAAGCAGTTGAATTTGCCGATATAAAATAGGTGCTATAAAACTATATTTATTTCTTTTCTTGCGAAAGTTTTTATCCGTTTTTATCACACTTTGCCGCCATGCCGGCCGCATTGTGCGAGGTCAGATTTTACAGTGAACCAGTTTCCAGTGCCATGACGATGTACAAAAGAAATCGCTGATAACAGGTAAGGAACTGTGCTCTGCAACAGAGCGACGAGAGCTGGATCACTTGGCTGTATCACATTTATATCCCAAGAATTAGTTGCCCAAGTGTGCGAGGCAGTGTTTTTGGTCATTGTTCCCGGATTAGGGCTATTAATGGATTGGGAATTTAATTACACCGACAAATACCCTTAATGCAGGAATATACTTAAATATACAATGATTGATGAAGATATTAGAACATAGATCTGGTCAGAGCATATATCAGTGGCAGTTATCTCTACGTTATCTGTGATGAATGAATAATACGATTGAGTTTTGCCGGCATACATCATTTTAGAATAGACCTTTTTAGTAGTGACGTCACATACGTCAAATAATAGGCAACCCCATATTACACATTGTCGTGAAGAATTTCTCAGTATTTTTACTAGATCGAGTTTCGACCTTATGTACTTTTGACATAAGTGCCAAATCTTCTTTGGCATGACCTTAAATATCGCGATATTCGGGCAATATTATAAATATTTAAGAAGTTTCAAACCCTAAATAACACACTAAAAGAATTATAGCATTTATATTTTTAAATTTATAGAACAATATTGATTTTTATAGTAATTCATAAATTAAAATTACTGAGCATGGGCATTAAAGATAATTTGATGCAAGCGAAGTAGCCTTGCAACAGGATACCATTCAAGAAAAGCTTGGTTCTCGTTAAGAGTACGGCTATAACTTGAAGAACAAAAAACACTCGATAAACAGACTGACACATCAGAGCACCAAGAAAAACAATAAAAAATACCTGGTAGAACTAGAAAATGCCAAGATTAAACAAAAGAATAGAAAAGACGCTAATGATGACAACGACTATACACCGTGTCCACCTAGTGCGCGTAAGTCCAATATCTAGGTTAATAAAAGATATAACTTAATTTTTTTTCTACAGAGTTGCCTACTTTCCCGAGCTGCACAAAATGAAAATATATTTGCATATACAGGATCTTCAGTTTTTCCTGGGCAGGTGCCAACTTAATTTTTTTAAATGGAAACCTATATTTTTTATGGCATTATCGAATTCTACGTGAAAAATTAACGGGACTTTGTGTTATGATCCCTATTAAAATATTGATAGTTTTCGAGATAATCGACTTTTCATTTTTTTTTCTTGTTTCGTCACTTCTAGTAGTAGACATAATTATAATTGTATGACAGCTAGAAATTATTATTTTTTTCATGAACTGTAGAGTGAAGATGGCTTTTTTAAAAAACGTATCAAAAGTTGACATGCCATATACAGGGGGCAAAAAAAAATCGTGCCAAACCTGATAATTTAAAATTTGAAAAATCTCGACTTTTTTAAATAGAACACCCTGTGTTTTATGATTTCATTAGATGCCTTTCTGTAGACTTTACAATTTTTAATAGCTTTCCCTATACCTAAGTTGCGTAATTTTTGCAAAAAAACATTTTTATGTAAAATACCGGATTTGCGCCGTTCCTTTGTCGGGAAAAATATTGTAAGGATATTTATTTTTTTTAAATTTATTAGTTAATCATTGAAAAATTTAAATATTTGAGTTTAATAAATAAGTCTTTATGGAAAGTTACCATTTATTTGTAAATAAAATAAAAAAAACATAAAATCGCGACAAGTAATTAAGAATTAGCAAAACAGTGGGAATCTCTGTAAATTTGGATTATTTGCTTTGTAAATACGTGCTGCTAGCAAACATTTCTCATATTTATAGGGAATATGGTATAGGGAAAGCTATTAAAAAATTATAGGGTCTACAGAAAGGCATCTAATGAAATCATAAAACACAGGGTGTTCTATTTGAAAAAGTCGAGATTTTTCAAATTTTAAATTATCAGGTTTGGCACGATTCTTTTGCCCCCTGTATATCGCAGTTCAACTTTTGATACGTTTTTTGAAAGAGCCATCTTCACTCTACAGTTCCTGAAAAAAAAAAATTCTAGCTGTCATACAATTATAATTATGTCCACTACTAGAAGTGACGAAACATAAGAAAAAAAATGAAAAGTCGATTATCTCGAAAACTATCAATATTTTAATAGGGATCATAACACAAAGTCCCGTTAATTTTTCACGTAGAATTCGATAATGCCATAAAAAATATAGGTTTCCTTTAAAAAAATTAAGTTGGTACCTGCCCAGGGAAAACTGAACACTCTGTATATGCAAATATATTTTCATTTTGTGCAGCTGGGGAAAGTAGGCAACTCTGTAGAAAAAAAAATTAAGTTATATCTTTTATTGGACTTACGCGCACTAGGTGGACACGGTGTATAACAACAAGATCTCACCTGCGTATAAGGCTATTCTTTACGAGCATGCGCATTAGGAATAACACAGCTAATGTTAAATTTTTACTTTATTTAAATTTAACAAAATTATTTTATATAGTTTTTGTAAGTTTTAAGCACATTAATAGTGTATCTATTTTACGAAACACGTATTAGCTCTTCTCAAATACTTCTAAATCCTTGTTAAAATAAGTAAATATGAAATTGTTCAATTCCATAGTATCTATATAAATAGTAAACAAGGGTCAGATTCAGTAGCAAGTCCTTGTACCCGTTTTGTCGCCGCGCTATTACTCGCTAAGTCTTCAGTGGCACACAAGTGGTTTTCAAAAATTGATAACGATTTTTTTCGGACAATTTGTGAACCACATTATATTGTAAGATGGTATGAAATTTGATAATCAACCCCTGTCAATCCCTAACTAAAAATTTGGTAGAAGAGTCAAATTATATTGTGAAATATATGTTTATTCCCCATGTAGTTATGCTCTTTTTTTGGAATCCAT